GGCCTTTTGTTTCACGTCAAATACCCAACGAGTTGGAAGGTGACAATTCCAGACTCTCACCAGATTGGAACAACATCTTCTTCTTTCTTAGGTTGGAGGCCATCGCTATTAATTAGGAGCAAGGACGCTACGAACGGGGCTCCTGGCCTTACTACTAGGAACAAGAAGCTACTGGGGGCTCCTGGCATCGCAACGAACGGAGCGATCGGACGCTATGAGGTTGGAGGCCATCTGATCACCATGCTACAAAATTTGCGCATATCGCTCAGAACTGGGCTCCTTGAATCCTCTCTTCTGTCTTTGCCCCGATGCACCAGGTGTGAAGGCGACCAGGTGGCTGCAAATTCTTGAGGAGTGGCAAGTGAAGGTGCGACCAGGTGGGGATTCCACGGCCCAGATGCAGGTGCCGCACCTCGACAGCGAACCACGGTCCGCTTTGGCGCCCCCGGCTCCTACTCGAGCTCCATATGGGTGTGTATTTATATAGGGAGGCACCCAACCAATAGGTTTTCGTCTAGTTTCCTTCTTCCAAAGGGGTCGAACTGGGAGGTCTCCCTATCTTAATACACACCCATATTGAAACATCTCTAGTTTAACTCATCTGCAGGAAAGTCCACGATTGACAAGACCTGCGAACCTGGGAAGAACATCAAACAAGAGGGCTTCCCACTTCCATTGATTCCTAAAAAGGGATCAGGCTTCTAGTGGGCCTCAATCATCACCTACCAAAAGGTGCAAACAGTCTAGACTCATCCCAATGCAGCATCTGCTTTAGACATAAAGCAGCTATACCCAAAAAAACCATACGCCGGTTGAAGACCTGAACCCATCGGACGCCGCGAACACCACGCGAAGTCGTCGGTCCGCCGGGTCCGGTCGCCTCGTGCAGCGAAGAGGTCCGCTCGGGATCTGTCCCAAAGAGCACCTGCCAAACATGCCACCTGGGCCAACAGCGAGAACAGAACAAGCGGATTGGTGGTGGGTGGCTACAAAAATCTGAAGACCTGAGCTGCTTGGTGGTTTCAACACACTTACGAAAGAAAAGATGATTCAAGGCGATCACCCCACACGTGAGTGTGGGGAGTGTGTGGCTCAGGAGGGTGAGAAAGAACAGGAGACGGTCAAGGAATCATGTATTGGCGTGTGGAACGCAAAGCAACAAGAAAAGACATGAGGAAAGAAAGACAGCCAGAAAAGAAAGAATGATTGAGTGAATGAAGGAGTGATTGAATGAGTGACTGGGTGAGAGTGAGAGTGAGTGAGTGCGCGAATGAGCGATCGAGTCAGTGGGTGAATGACACCGTGCGTAGCTTGTCGGTAAACAGCAAGACCTCGTATCAACGTTGTTCGTCGGTGATTGGACTTCGGATCCCAAATCACTTTGAGCATCGCTACTAGGAGCAAGGACGCTACTAGGAGCTCCTGGCCTTACTAGTAGTAACAATAAGAATTTAATTGTAATTACTAGCTTCTTGTTACTACCAGTAAGGCACTTGTTACTACTAGCGATGCACTTGTAATTACTAGCAAACAAAATCCTCCTAGGACCTTTTCGCGCGCGCGCGTGCGCGCGGGGGGGGGGGGGGGTAGGAGCAAGGACGCTACGAACGGGGCTCCGGAGGAGCAAGAGGACGCTACAAAGGTAACAAGGGCAAAAGTGCAAAGCCACGACAGGGCAAACAGCAACCAAATGATTCGACCTGATCGCGGTGCTAAGTCCACGGCTGAAGAACGGTAGAGAAATACCTATACGCTGAATCAAGCGTCTGTGGCGAGGGACTGAGTGACTGCGAAATGAGTGAATGCGACATTGGGCCGGTGTGAACTGACTTGATTTGAATTAGTACTAGGAACAAGAAGCTACTAGTAGCAAAGGGCATCGCTACGAGGAGCAAGGACGCTACTAGGGGCTCCTGGCCTTACTACTAGGAGCAAGAAGCTAGTAGAAACAAAAGATGTTAATTAGTTGGTGCGAGGTGCGTGGGTGTGGGATGATTTGACGTGGAAGAGGCAGAACCTCCCATCCCGGAACCAAATGGACCACAGCACGTGGGCAGAACCTCCCAGTGAAGGTTCAGTGCAAGGAAACCCATCAAGAGCCAACAAAACGCAGGAAAAAGCAGTGACTTGCACAGGCTCTTGCTCAAACACAGAAGCTTGCTGTGCGACGGAGACGCACACTCTCCGCTTTTCGCTGGAGGCAGGAAGCCGAGATGGGCCGCCACCCGCTTAGTCATCACCGCTTAGTCATCACTTTGCTTTTGCGATCCCTTCTGCATACAGTAGCAAGAAGCTACTAGGGGCTCCCGGCATCGCTACTAGATCTACTAGTAGCAAGAACGCTACTAGGTGGCCATCGCTATGAGGTTGGAGGCCATCACTCGTACATACCAGCCTGTTGGTCCATCTGCTCTACCGGCAGAGAGCCGACCAGCTGACCGCCATTGCACCACCGCTACGGCCATCCGTTCCTTCCAGTTCCGCGGCTCCTGGTCCACCCGACCCCTCCGGGCAAGACGGTGTGCGGAGCTCGGCAGTGCGTCACTCGGGGCGCGGGACTCGCGCAGCGTAGGGAAGACAGATCTGAAACAAAGAAGAGGAGCGAAGCTACGAAGGTAGGGGTGCTCCTGGAACAAGCTTCGCTACGAACCGTCACCAAGGGGCATCGCCGTCGCGACGTCTTCGTCCGGAGCGAGAAAGGACGCGAAGCGAACGCCAGTTGTGACATGGGCCACTCTGGGCCATCGTCCCAAGAGTCGCGGTTCCTGAGCCTCGGACATGCTCACTTGGACGTAGATGTAGGACAACCTGGAATGGCGATCTGGCGCAGATCCCAAGGAAGCAGGAAGCTAGTGCTCCAGTTGATGAATCATTGGAATTCATGTTTGCAATCCTTTCAGCATCGTCTGCAAGATTTCTTGGAGCTTGCGAACAGTGCACTCAAATCCACACTTTCTTTCGCCGGAGGAAGTGTAGAGAGCTGACTGGTGTCAGCCGCTAGGGTAGACTGACCTTCTTCCTCTACAGCTCCAACACTTCACTAACTGGATGTTGTATCAGGTCACCTGGCAAGTTTGGTGACAACCTCTCCGGCCTACGGGCGGCGGGTGCAGAAATGTCTTCGTGCTTTTGGTTTGCAACCAATGCTGTCACCTTGGGCTTCCTTTAAATAGCAACAAGTTGAAGCGATTCGCTCTTTCTTGAAAAAAGCATGGGAGCTCAACTCTAGCCCCATGATTCGGTTCTTCCTCCTGATTCTCACTAGCTAGCTTTTCAATTTTAGTGGAACTCCCCCAAAAGCGACCTGCAGCTTCTTCCCGTTCGCCCTGCAGCTTCCTCCCCCGGCCTGCTGCGGTCAGCCAGACCCTGCTCGCGCAGCGTCGTGCTCGGAAACAAGGCTTCGCCCTTCCAGAGGACCGTGAACCTCGGCACCGTGAACCCATGGAACGATCAAATCGGGCATGACGTAGGTGATGGCCTCGAAGCTACGGAGGCAAGGCTTCGTGAAGGCTTGAGGAAATATGCCCAGCTCAACATAAGGTGTTTCTGCTCTTTCATCCCTTCCCTCCTTTGGGGGTGATGGGCGCATATGCGCACAGGCGGCAGTATCTCAGTTCAGAGAGGATACCGGCTACACCAGAGTTTCACCTCATGTTCCGAAGCCAATTCCAAGAAGGCTCATTTCGCCTTATGCAACATCCCCAGGTCCTTCATCAGCAATCCATTTGGGTAGCTTCTTACTAAGTAGAAATGCCAGGAGCGCTCCGTTCGGTTCGCGTCCGGCGTTCCGTGGTCGGAACCACCGGACCACCGCCCGTTTCTCGGTCACCTGTTCACCTCTTCGGCTCGCTTGGCACGTCGCACCGTTGCGACAAACGGGTCGGAGTCGGAATCGGATGGACGGAAAAAGGGAATTCTTTTTTTAAAAGAACTTCTGCACCTCGGGGGATACGCAATTCTTTTTTCACGATACGCTTGCCTCGTTCTCCCATGAAAACGGAGAGAGAGAGAGAGAGACACACCGGTGATGCCGAAGAACTTCGAGCCCACCTTCTGCACCAAGCGCTCAGCAATCATTTCTTCCAGCTCTGAACCGAGAAGGTTCGAGTTCACTTTGAGCCACCAGGCCTGTTCGCGTCCGCGAGAGATCCAGCGAAAGGTGTCCCCCAAAATGACGTCCCTCTTTTCAGGTTTTCATGGAACACTGCTTTAGGGAGCAAAATAGATGGACAATGTATGTATGGACATGGTATGTGTGCAACAAATCTGCTCTCAAAGAACAACTCCGACACCACAGCATACCACATTATATCCCACGACCGACTTTTGTTTTCTCTTGGAACTTCCAACCGGTGCAGCCCCAACAAAATAGCTATAAACAAAACTCCATTTCTCATTCGTGGCTCTTTCCATCCCTCGCTGGTAGGTTGGAGGCCATCGCCCCTTTTGAGGCATTTGGTGCGGACCACGCCTGGCCATCTAGACCTGAAATCTCCAGCAGAATCTCTGACATCGTCACGTCTGCGTGAACTCTTGGCTTCAACCGCTCCAGATGGGACGTGCCATGGCGGCACTGAGAGCTCGAACCATGGCAGCTCAACGTGCAACCACAACGACCACTTCGAGGTTGAACGACCACTTAGCCGCAGTGCAAGGTCCGGCAACTATGGATTTGCAGGCCATTTGGCTGAAGAACTACTGCCTGCTTACTATGATGAACGCCAGTGCAGCCTTCAGGCTGCGCCAAGGGCCATGTTCGCCACAGCTATCGGCTATGGTCACAATAGCTGGTCCGTTCATCTGTCTAAGGTCCGCCATTTCCCGTTCTGAATCGCGCTCCAAATCGGTCGGATCGCTTCGGCCACAAACATCCAACAAACATCACGTCCTGCGGCCTCGTGACGGCAGGACGTGGCCGCGTCGCCCAGTACAGCAGGACGATGCGATCATTTTAAGATCTGTCTTCACGTGGCCCTCAACCCAGACTGAGCTTCCCTGGCCTTGATCCAGAAGCCCTTCCTGTGGTAGGGAAGATGGTGACAAACAGGCCCCGAAGTGGAAAAGAAACCGTTAATTGCTGTGAAACAGCGGCTGGATGCCATCCCTACTAGGTGAGAGGCCATTGCTAGTAGGTTGGAGGCCATAAATAGCCAAACATCTTGTCACAAGTGCATGACTCCCAAAGCGTCACATGCTTTGCCGCTTGGTGGTTGGACCGCCAGGCGAGTGCCAGGCAAGAGCAATGCAAGTCTCACTCAACTGCCCAAGAGATGCCGTGTTTCGGATGCCCCAGCTTCGTTCAACATGCGAAGTCATCGGGTTCCACGTTGCAGGGTCATCGGGTTCTCATGTCATATCGAAGTTCTACAGCCACTTCAGCCACCCCAAAGTAGAGAGCACAGCGAATCCACTGAAAGCCTATTTGAGACGGCCCTTCTTTCTACTTGCAGACCACTTTATATGTGCTTGTACACATGATAGACCTCGTCCAGCGCAGCCCTCTTCGCACCTGGCGAAGGGTCAACGCAAAGGCTTTGCTGCAGTCATGCCCTGCACGGCAGGAATCCATGGGAGCCCGGCTCCCTGAACAGCCGAAACGGTCATCCCCGGAACAGCGACGGGACATCTGCGGGCTAACTCACCACATTGGTGGACACTCACTGACCAATCAGCTGACCAGTGAAACTGGGTGTTTCGTGGTTTCTATCCGTCAGCAAGATGGTTTCTGTCCGCGCACGGCAGACCCAAAAAGGAGGTTTGCCATCAAGAAGCTTGAGGAGTGACAGCTGGCCGGTTTAGTCGGGTACAATTGAAGCCCCTCACCCTAAATATGTAGGGCCCACTGTAGTGACGCGTAGAATGAGGATACTCGGAGACTTGGAATTCCTACTTTCTCTGTTGTTCCCAGGATGCAGGGTGGTGCAGAACCAAACTTGCTAGACTCTCGCCCACCAAAGTTCACATGGTGCCGCCTGCGGCCAGGAACTGGGAAAATGCCTTCAACTGAAGCGTTCCGTTCGCAAAACAATTACCTGTTTCAGACCGAAGACTCCAAAGAAGTGCAACATTATGGACACAACCCGTTTCAACCCGATTAGGACACCGACCGGACCAGATGAGGACGGAGACTTTGTTGGACGCACATGGCGCTTCGCAATCCTTTCAATCATACCCACAAGGGACCTGCCGGCTGCCCACCCAAGGATAGCAAAGGGACATAGCAAACATAGCAGCGAGTGAATCCGTGGAACGAAGATTGCTCGACTCCTGTGGTCCAAAGAAGCTTTGCTTCTTGCTCCTAGTAGTAAGGCCAGGAGCCCCGAACGTAGCGTCCGAACGCTCCGTTCGTAGCGATGCCCTTTGTTACTGGTAGCATCTTCCCGAACTGGCACACGTCGAACATCAGATCTTGACCATTCCTTCTTGTCACGAGTCAACTCCTCCCGTTGGTCTTCTTGGATTTTGACCTTGTAGATTCACCTGAAAGGTCTATGTTCTTCCCCGCAACAACATTCGCCCAACAGCAATCACAAGAGGGACAACATCAACAACATGGAAACACCGCTGAAAACACCTCCAAAACTAGGAACAAGAAGCTACTAGGAGCAAAGGGCATCGCTACTAGGAGCAAGGACGCTCCTCCAAAACAGGAAAACACGTTTTTCAACACCCCTCGCCGTCGATGACAATCCTCTCCGTCGCCGAACTCCACCTGCGAAGAGTTGGTAGCTCTGGCCCTCGCCGTAGAACTCCTGAGCCGTCACTGTCGCTACTAGGTTGGAGGCCATCGGAGGCCATAGCTAGTAGGTTGGAGACCATCGTTTGTGCACCTGTTTCTACGTTCGCTTCTTGTTACTACTAGTAAGGCACCTGTTACTACTAGCGTGGCACCCGCCTTCCCGCTGCTCACGTCGAAGACACGGCCCCAGACCGCCAGCCTTGGAGCGGACGATTCGGGGCTCCCAGCATCTCCGAGGTTTGCAAACCCATCCAGAGGTCTGGGCGAAACACCTGGGTTTGTGATGTTGTCATGATTTCTGTCTGGGTTTTGTTGGCTACTTGGATCTTAGATCATCTTAGATCACATGGACTGAACTTGTGATGCCGCAAAGAGATGATCACATCGCCAGCTCAGCAGCGAGAATGCTGCGGACCACGGTGGCGGTGGACGAAAACAGTCTCGAGCCCCACACCCTGGGGAGAGCGCGGGAGAGCGTTCCAACGACACGGGCACAAGATTGGGATGCCTTGGCACATCTTGGCACCTTCTGCTCTCTCTCATGGCAGTCTCCCAAGGGCGACTTCTTGCGAAGCCGCAGATGACCTGGACAGTCACTTCGACCTGATCTTGTAGACATCGTCCTGATTGAAAAGGTGCATGCGTCACTTCTCCTCAAAAAGAAGTCGCGGCAGAATTGTACCACATCTGAGAGGCTCAAGACAGCGCTTCTATGTGGCCGCTGTGCGTGAGTATCTTTTTTTTGGCTTTCCATGTCAATGTGGACAATGATACTCGTGTCAAATGACCTGGAGTTATACCCCCGAAATGTGGTAATTAGTCATCAATATGGATTGGTTGGGGGCCTGAGAAGGTCACAAGCTTTTGGGAGAACTATATAACCATTACCATTCTGATTATCGAAGCAGCCTAGCAGCTTCTTGTTTGCCTCATGTGACCAGGCCCTTCTCATCCATGGATTGACACCCTGCCTTTTCGACAAGGCCTTGTCTTGTGCAGCACCACCCGGTCATCAACTCCAAGCACTGAGTATCCACACAGGATGCGATCCTCCTGGCCACTCCGCGTTCCGACGGAGCTGGGGGTTGGTCGGGCCGGGTCACGGCGGGTCCTCGGTTCCCCCGAACGAGGAGCAAGGACGTACTCCGAACGCAGAAAAGCCCTGGTGTCAGCTTCATAGTAGCTGAAAACACATAGATATATACCATCATGGACCTTCCAATCTTTCGAGGGGATGCACCCTCCTATCAGCAAAGCCATGCAAAAACATCATGCTGCTTACAACCGTGTGAGGAGATAGGATCATCCGTCGATCCTTGCTTGTGAACTGACGTTGCTTGGTCAGTGTTTCCAGAGGCCATTCCCTCACAAACATTGCAAAGCACTGTGAAGTGGGCTGAAACTTCTAAAGATTTTTGGAGTTCGAGAGAGGCTCCTCCGACAGGATGAGAATCTTGAATTCCGATGGATTCTTCAGCACCTTCAGTTCACCTTTACTCGCGAAAGCACCGCTTTATCAAATGCTCTGGTACTTCTCTGTTGCAAGTCAACCCTCCCCGTTTCCATTGGCCTCTCTCTATATGTACGTCCATATGGGTACCAAGTTCCGAGCGGCCCCATCCTCGTCTTCGCTACTTTCGGCGACCGAGCGACCGGAAGGCACCGCGGGAGTTGAATGAGACCCACCGTTCGCGACTGCGAGTTGACGGTCAGAGCTAGGTGACGATGGGCATTCACGAAGATCCCCACCGTTTTGAGCTGTGTTGATGACCGGGACCGGTTGATACGGGGAAAGAAGATCGGTCACCCTAGCTGGAACAGAAAGGTCACCCTCGTTGGTCGATACGGGTCATTCACCATCCAAGACACTCAGTCCGATCGATCGATCTGGGGCATACCATGCGAGCGAGCTAGGCAGCTCTAGCAGTGAAGCTGGACTGCACAGCCGGCCGCGAGCGAGCCCGCACAGCCCGCGTTGCTGGAGTTCCGGCCTGGCGTTGGAGATCCATCAATGTGAAGCTGGCCTTGGGACCGAACGAGACCGAACGTGGCCCCCCCCCCCGCCGGCCGGATTTCATGGGTCGTGTTGAGCATCGCTGCAGGGGTCCCTTTTTCAGCTCCCTGGTGCATGGCAATTGACAACCATTTGGTAAGGAACCAAGAAAACAATCCCTGCAATCCTTGGAGAGAAGGGCAACCTCCTCACTCGAACGCTGCAAGTGCTCGAGTGCACGCCTGCCTCAAACGCCTCCCGACCGATTCTCTCGCTCGACGGGAAAAAACGCGACGCGTTAAATCTGCGCCCATCGAACGCCCTAGGGGACCGAGGTGTTTGAGCGTGCGAACGCTCCGTTCGTAGCGATGCCCTTTGTTCCGTTCGTAAGGCCAGGAGTGCCCCGTTCGTAGCGCCGTGGTCTTGAAGTCCGAAAGCCCCAAGCGAGGCATTCACATGTGAGGCATTGTCCAGGATTTCAGGTCCTTCACCACCGGAACGTTGACCGGGCAGGATCCGTCCTTGTGGATTCCGTGCGGTGTTGTTTTCACGCAACGAAGGATGATGGTCGCTCCTTCTCGAATTGATCGAACTACACGTGCAATGCCTAATCTGTGTGCAACACGTAGTCGATTGAAAACGCAATACCTTGGATCTACTTTAGCCTCAGCTATTCCTGTCACCTATTTTCTCTTTGAAGATGAGGGTTTCTCTTCTAGTGACAAACTTGGACCATGCTGCTCATGCTGCCTACAACGGTCTTCTACAAGGCTTGATCGAAAACCGTGGCATTGCTGTCGTCCATTCCAAGCCGAGAATGGCTCTTCCTCTCAGTGTGGTTTGTGTAAAACCAGGTCTTTCCTGATTGTGAAAGGAGGATACATGGTGAAATGGCTAGTTAGTATGGCTAGTTGGCCATCGCGATCGTAGGTTGGAGGCCATGAGATCTCTGGAGTTGCTCCATCTCTGGTCCTTGATGTGGAATGGACAGCATCCTTTGGGTGAGACAGTCGGCGTGCGGCTTGAATTCTGCCATCACAGGTTATGACGTCTCATTGTTGCCTTGGCGAAGAGAAGCGTCCCATGGTGTCTATCTAGATTTGGTTGATCTTTTGCACTGAATCAAAGTGGTTTTCATGATTGAGTCCAGCAGGTAAACTTAAGGACAAGGGAGGTATTAAATGGTTTAAGGGAACAGCTGAGGATGGTCATGTCTGGCTGTCTTGCCTTGCTACGGAGTGCTTGGTTTTGACCCACGCCCACAAATCTGTGGGCGTGCTTGAGAGAGGACACCCATTGAATTTGAATACTCGAACTCAGTCCTTGCTCCTAGTAGCGATGCCCTTTCTTACTAGTAGCCTCTTGTTCCTAGTAGTAATGCCGGGAGCTACTAGTAGCGTCCTTGCTCCTAGCCAGTTTGGACAAGACTGCATGTTCATTAAACGTCTATGCCTTTCTGTTGCCTAATGGTGGGGTGTACGGAAAATCCCTGGCACGTTGCGAGTCCATGGTTCAATCCAAGCCAGGAATCCATCAGCACTGGAGACCCGCAGGACACATGTCCCTTTCTGGAAATGACTGGGATCACATCTTACTGGACAGTGTAGAAGAATAGCAAGTCGTTTGCAGCCTCTTTTCTCGTGACTTTTCGCAAGACTAAGTGCAAGCCAACACTTGCATTTGGTAAGGTCTCAAGCACAGCATGCCGCATGCCAAAGTAGCATGTCTGCATCAGAACGCAGCAGCAATGTGAGGCGTGATCCCAAGAATCTACATAATACATACATGTATAATATACACACAAGCAGTTCCAATGGGCAGCCTGGAGGGTAGGGGTGCCCATTCTCCACTCGCTTAGGGACTCAAGAGTACCCTTTGCGACTCTGGGCAGTTGCGTAATGAAAACGTCTCTGACATCCTATGATACAACAGAGTCAATAGAGCAGATGTCGTCCTAAGAAAGGCTTAGTAAGGAGGACAACATCCGAATCCTCGAATCCTGGAAGGATGACGACTTCTGAATCACAACTCCCCAAATTGATGTGTAAACTATACAGTTGAAACACAGCAGGCCATCGCTAGTAGGTTCGAAGCCATCGCTTCTAGTTTGGAGGCCATCGCTTCTAGTCTGGAGGCCATCGCTAGCAGGTTGGAGGCCATCGTTTCTAGTTTGGAGGCCATCGCTTCTAGTCTGGAGGCCATCGCTAGTAGGTTGGAGGCCATCGCTTGCAGGGAGGCCATCGCTTGTAGGTTGGAGGCCATGGCTTGTAGGTTGGAGGCCATCGCTTGTAGGTTGGAGACCATCGCTTCTACTTCGAAGGCCATCGCTTGTAGGTCAGAGGCCATCACTCTAGTTTGGAGGCCATCGCTTGTAGGTTGAAGGCCATCGCTGGTAGGAGGCCATTGCTTGTCGGTTGAAGGCCATGGCTTTTAGGTTGAAGGCCAGCGCTTGTAGGTTGGAGAGGCCATCACTTGTAGGTTGGAGGCCATCACTTCTAGGTTGGAGGCCATCCCTTGTAGGTTGGAGACCATCGCTTCTACTTTGAGGACCATCGGTTGTAGGTTGGAGGCCATCGCTTGCAGGTTGGAGGCCATCGCTTCTCGTTTGGAGGCCATCGCTTGTGTAGGTTGGAGGTCATCGCTTGTAGGTTGGAGGCCATCGCTTGTAGGTTGGAGGCCATCGCTTGTGGGCTAGAGGCCATCACTTCTAGTTTGGAGGCCATTGCTGGCTAGTAGGTTGGAGGCCATCGCTTCTAGTTTGGAGGCCATCCCTTCTAGTTTGAAGGCCATTGCTTCTACTTTGAAGACCATCGCTTGTAGGCCATCGCTTGCAGGTTGGAGGCCATCGCTTCTCGTTTGGAGGCCATCGCTTGTGTAGGTTGGAGGTCATCCCTTCTAGTTTGGAGGCCATCGCTTGTAGGTTGGAGGCCATCGCTTGTACGTTGGAAGCCATCACCTCTAGGTTGGAGGCCATCGCTTGTAGTTTGGAGGCCATCGCTAGTAGGTTGGAGGCCATCGCTTGTAGGTTGGAGGCGTTGTAGGTTGGAGGCCATCGCTTGTAGGTTGGAGGCCATCGCTACTAAGAGAAAGAACTTAACGTATAACAGTTTACCGCTCTCCGCCGAAATCTTCGTCGAGCGGCTGAGCTTCTCGATGAGAACCTGTTGTTCCCTCTCCACGCGCTCCAATGAGTTCAGCTGAAAGGTCAGCCTGGTTAACGTCGGATGGACAGGTCCAGTCTAGGAGGTTGGTCTTCCGAATGTTTTAAAGAGAAAAGTCTCATTTCAAAGTGCTTTGAAGAAAAGAATGCAGGTAGCTTCTTGGAAGCTAACAGGAAAGCTACATGTCTGGAAAACAAGAGATTACATTTATACAACGCGGGTGTTTTTAGGTTGTTTTTTGGTCTGCTTGAGTGTCAATACCCTGCAAATGGTGTAGACATGGTTTGGGCATCTGTTGGTTTAAGTGAAACCACCTTCGCCCTTTAACCGGAAACAAACTCCGGTTTTGAAAGAACGTGAACATGACAGTTTGTTCACTGTGACCTGACGTCTGTTGAGTAAGCCCAAGGAAGGGGGTACCACATCATGCCAGACATATGACATGGATCAAAAGGCGGACCGCACATGTTTGTCATATGTAGCGTTCTTGTTACTAATAGTAATGGCCTCCAACCGACTAGCGATGGCCTCCACCTAGTAGCTTCTTGCTACTAGTAGCTTCTTGTTACTAGTAGAATTGCCAGAAGCTACTAGTAACTAGTAGCATCCTTGCTACTAGTAGCTTCAGCTCTGTGCAGGACGAACGTAGCGCATGGCCTTACTACTAGGAACAAGAAGCTACTATAGTAACAAAAGGCATCGCTACAAACGGAGCAAGGACGCTACTATATAGTAACAAGGGCTTTACTACCAGCTTCGAACTTGATTTCCCATTGCTCAAAGGTTTTCCACTCAAAAGTTCCTTCCACCCACATGAACGGGCGCCACTCTCGGCACCCTTTCTTTGCGGCGCCTTTTCCCTCGTTTAGTGGCGCCACCTGGCGCCGCGCTGCGATTCACGCACGCACGCACTGCGCCTCTCAAGCTCCTGGGTCTTCTCTTGAATGGCTGCCTGCGTCTCGACAGGTCTCGATTCGCACTGGTTCCGACGGAGAAAACCCGCTACTAGGAACAAGTGCATCGCTGCTAGTAGCTAGGGTATCACTAATGTGAGATGTTAACGGCCTGCCAGCACTGGGTTTTCCATGTACTTTTTCCATAACTACAGGCAATCACACTACCAAAGCGGATTCACTCCTTCACTCAGCTCCCGTGGGTGGTGCTACCAATGGTCTTCATACTCATGGCGACACCGCAGCGGGCTGCTGCTCCGCCTGCATACTCAGCTGCTTTCGTCTTCGTGCCTCTGCTTCCATCTCGGCACCTCGTGAAACGATCCGCAAGACTGGTGAAGACATGTAGAGGTTTTCTCAGCTTTCATCCCGCCCAAAGGAGAAGTGTTTGATGGACACACACAAACACACTTGGGAGGTTTTTTGTAGCTCGGAGGCCATCGCTTCTAGTTTGGAGGCCATCGCTCTTAGGTTGGAGGCCATCGCTCTTAGGATGCTGAAGTTTTCTGATCTTTTTGCATGGCTTTTCGCCTGTCCCATGGTCTCAAGTGGTACGCGGTACGCTTTCGTCGGCAAGTCGGATTTGACGTCTCGCCCAGTGCCCTGCCAGGGTTCAAACGAATGGCCGGAATCCCGTTCATTCCAACGATAACGGTGTTTGATAGGACATATGCCCCGAGAAGTCCTGAACTTTTGCCAAGTGTTGCAGCGAGCTGGGGGTATCTTCGTGCCTTGCTGATTGCCCGAGGTTGGAAGGGGACTAGAACCCTAAACACTCACAGGGTTCACCTGAGAATCGACTACCTGAGCAAGTCTGCAAAAGTTGTTTTCAGTTGTCCATTCCCTTCCCTTTCTGGGCTATACACGGACGCCCGCGGTTCTTTCTGCACCACGTCCGCGGTTCTGCCACGGCCACGCCGTTCACGGCGCGCGCGGTTCGTTCGGCGCGTGCCCTGTGGGCGCTGAAGTGGACCTCTTTGGGACCGCGGCCTCCAACCGAGCAGCGTCCTTGCTAGTAGCGATGCCAGGAGCCCCGATCGTAGCGAACATTGCTACTAGTAGCGATGCATTTGCTACTAGTAGTAAGGCACTTGTTTCTAATGGCTTCCTTGTTACTACTAGTAAGGCACTTGTTACTAGTAGCGTGGCACCTGTTTCTACTAGCGTTTCCGTTTCTCCACGGCTTCACCCGGGAAGCGCTTGGACCGGCTCACAGCTTCTCCCGCTGCGTGTTGACCGAGCGCAGGCACCGGGTCAGTGGTGCAGCGATAAACTCCACGTAGAGACCCGAGAGAAGCCACAGCAGAAGCAAGAACGCCATGAAGGTCTCCTGAATTTTGAATGAACAGATTGTTTTTTGTTTTGATTGCTTTTTGTTTTTTGAAACCAGGTGGTGTTTGGATTTCCAAACTGCCTTGAAGTTTATCCTTTGGGGACGCTCGCAATGACAAGGACACGAGTTTGTGGTTCCGGCTACGTCTGGTCCAACCTGTGTGGCCAATGAGATGATGGACTTCACCAAATTAAGCGAATGGCTCCAAGTTGGAACCCCCAAAACTCTGAAGCACTTGTAGCTCGGGTATCTCCCACCAGGTTTCGGTGGATGATGGTTTGGTTACAGGCCGACATCTCAAAAATAGCGATAGTCTTTTACCGACTGCCAATGGTGGTGAGACACACCCTGCTTGCAGGGCACTACGATGTTTTGCGGTCGCTATTAGAAACACAGAAGAAAGAAAAGGAACGATTAAATTAGAATTAAACGACATCACAATTAGAATAAATTAGAATTGAACTAAGTAAATTAGATTAGAATTAATTCAATCTAGAATTAAATGACATTACACTTAGAATAAAGTTAAATTAGAATTAAACTAAATTAGACTTAAATCAAATTAAACTTAAACTGATTTAGAATCAACTTGAATTAGAATTAAATTAAACTAGATTTAAATGAAATTACAATTAGGATAAATTAGAATTGAATTAAATTAGAACTAAATTAAATCAGAATTACATTAAACTAGAATTAAACTAAATTAGCTTTTAAATTAAATTAGAACTAAATTAAATTAGAAGAGTTTGCTATTAGGTTGGAGGCCACCACTAGGTTGGAGGCCATCGCTAGTAGGTTGGAGGCCATCGCTAGTAGGTTGGAGGCTATCGCTAGTAGGTTGGAGGCCATGAGCACAAACACGTGTCTCAGGCTGCTCAGGCCTGATGAGGGCCTTCACCCAAACCAAACGACAAACGAGGGTACATGATCTGTACCCTCACGCGAACGAGCTGATTCCTGGTCTTCAGATAAGACTCTTCTAGTACCTCTGTTCTCTATATAACCAAGTACAGACTTTCAACGAACTCACCAGACGACGAACATTGGACCTTTACAACCAGACCGCATCGAAAACGAAGTTGCCCCGCAGTCAAGACAGTAGCCAGGCAGCCACTCTTGATTCATCATCGCCCCCTCCATTGGGATTGCAAAACCTCTTCTTATGGAGGGTTTTTTAAAAGGTTGAAATATGATCAAGAGTGAAGTATGTTCGTTGGGGTCTACATTTAGCCACCGTGACTGTTCATCCCACCCTTCCGTGACCGGGAGCTCTTCCATTGTCTAACCCGTCTTCGGTCGGGCGGCGGGCGTGGGGAAGCGGCACAGGCGCCGAAAGAGAGCCTGCAAAGGCCACTGGAACAAATAGACCTCGAAGCTGTACTTCCCCAGCGATACAAGGGCTGGATGACGTAAGACATAGGCCAAACAGCTTCCTCACGCAAGCTTTTAGCCCCAACAAATGGTGCAAGCTTTTGGAGGAAGATAGACACAACAATCACCTACATATAAACACCCTTGCTTCTACAGCACATGACTTCTACAGCCTATTTGGGCACTCTTTCCAAGGGATCCTCCCATCTTCCCAAAAAAACCTTCGTTCAGTTCACGCGTCCAGATGCACTGCCGAAGATGAAGAGGGCGATGGCCAAGGAACCTCCATGCGTCAGTAAGACGTTGCTGTCAGTCTGGCATTCCGCATGCGTGCTCGGAGATGGCAGCCTTGGCAGTCGAACGAACCACCAACCCCGGCAGTTTGGGGGATGCACGGATCCCCGGCATCGACCATGCAGCTGATGGTTTGGGGTCATGACGGTCTTGGCCAAGTTCGGAATTGCCTGGTGTTGAGCTGTTCTCCTTTTCATCTGGGTTTCTTGGATCACCCAGAAACCATCTGGTGCTCGCAAATCTCACCCAACCACACTGGGACGACACTGGGGACATGGACTCAAAGCTGCTTGTAGAAAGGTCCGGGTCTGTTCGGTGAAAAACTGGAGCCCTGGGCCCAACCATGTAGCTTGAAGCTTCCATGAATTGAATGGGCCATTCATTCCAAGGTTATTTTCATCACCCAGCCCAGGCAGGTCAACCTGCCTTGACCAGCCCAGCCATCTGATCCTGCCCAGTCGCATCACCACTGCCGCTGCGAAGCCCAACAGCGCCGCATCACCCAGCATCGCTCGGCACCAGCCGCTGCACCCGCTGCAACTGGGAAGGGCGGCGCTGAGCTCTGAGGCTAAGACGCCCAGGGCAAAATCTGGGAGCTGCGCGGGAGGCCACATGAAGGTTGTAGCAAACCTCAGGCTGCAAAAGCTCGCTACTAGGTTGGAGGCCATCGCTAATGGGTTGGATAACTTCGCTACTAGGTTGGAGGCCAT